AAAGACAATGGCTAGAAAAGGAACTCTAAAGTAAGGAGCAGATATAACGTTGCTACAGGGGAGAGCCACAGGTTTTACAGACCAGGAAACGCCCTCAAGAGCTGAGACTGAGGTAGGAGGTAGAGCAAGGCCAAGTGAAAGGCAGAGATCCCTGAGACAAGAGTCAAGAAGCCAGACAAAGCAAAGACCACCAGGTCAAAGTACCAGAAAACCAACAGATAAACCACCGGTCCCACGTGAGCCCTAGGCGCATGCAAACCTGAAAGTATGCAACCCTGGCCAGTGTCCAAACTCACCTGCATTGTGGTTTTGATCTCCCCAGCGGGCTTTGGACACCCAGACACTTCCTCTAAAAACCTTGTACGGTCAAAAATCTCCCTAAGGATGGGTGGGCAGCGCGAGGTCCCTAGTGGGTTCTGGGTCCTCTCATAACTCAGGGACCTGAAGGGACCCAGTGCTGCCCTCTAGGGCTGGGAGTGCTTCCCACTGGCCACACCCAGCCTGGGGCGCACACCTTTACTTCCTTCAGTCCTTTTAACAGCTGTTAGCCTTGCTACTCGTTCTGAGTGTTCTGCTCAGTTCTTTCTTCAGGATACTAAGAACCCAGAAACAACTTCCCCGAAGCCCCCATCTGCTAACACGAGGACCTGTCCGAGGCTGCAGAGAACCGAGCAAGCCTAGGACTAGAAAGCAGGCTGTCTTGGCTACTTTTCTTATTGCTGAGATGAATACCCAACACCCAAAGTTAAAGGAGCAAAGGTTTGTCTCCGCTTACGATTTATAAAGGTTTCAGCCCATACTTGGCTCCAAGGCAGGGTGGCATGGCAGGGGGCCTCATAGAAAAGAAAAAGTCCATGGCAAAGCAGTGCAGGAAGCAGCAGCAAAATAGGAACAAAAGCAAAAGCAGCACGCCTGCCTCTACCTTTTATCTCATCCAGACTACATGCCTTTGCCTGGCGCTGCCCATACCCACAGTGGGGCACGCTCAGTCTAAGCATCACACGCTTAATCCCAGCATCACACAGCCTACCAACAGCCACCTCCAAAAAGCCCCATCTAGGACCACATGAGGCTTGGGGGGATATCCAGATATAAGCCATAACATTCCGCCCCTGGCCTCCTAAAGACTCATGCGCATCCCTTTATGCAAAAGGCATTTAGTCTGTCTCTAAGAATTGCCAAAGTCCTAACAACTTCAACATTGCTAAAAAGTCCAAGTCCAACATCTGAGGGAGCCCAGATAGGAAGACTGGGGCCTAATCAGCCTCCCCTGTGAGCACTAGGAAGAAAGCAGGTATGCCAGTGAGCTGACACACTGCAGCTTCCCGGGAGAAGTTATTACAGCTGAGGGGTTGTTTACAAGAGTTATGACAACAGGGCTTGCTTACCCAGACATGTGCCATCGAGGGTCGGAGGCAGAGAATCTTGTGATACTCTAGTTGCTTGTCCCCATGTCTAAGTGAATAGAGGCAAGGTGAGTCAATTACTCAGGGCCCTTTGTCAAAGGGAGACAAGAGCTCCCTGGCCCCCACATTTTAACCTTAGCCTGTGTCACTTTGTTTTTCATCCTTGCTCATCCCCCGGTCAGGTACAATCTTGTGGGATGGTTCCTACAAAAGTCTCCTCTGAGATTCAAGGCAAAATCTTAGCTGCAAGCCCAGAACAGATGAAAAGAAAGTTAGACACTGCCAATATACAGTGGCACAAGATAAATATTACCATTCCAAAAGGTACAAAGAGGCGGAAACAAAGGAATGGAACCAAGGTAAGTCCATGCTCCAGCACAGCAAGCATTCAGTCTTATAGTTCCATGTCCAGCAACCCTAGCAATCTGTGGCAAGTTATAAACTCCAAAGGGCTTGAGTGACTCCACACCTACAGCACTTCCAGGGGTTGTAGCTCCCATGGCTTCTCTTGGGCTGGCTCTGCTTCCTCCTTATAATTTTCCTCACACAATCCACATTCCTGGCTTCTCCAAATTTCTGGGGTCTCCACTGCACCTTCAGCATCACACTCACATCTTCACACACTGCCCTCTCAGGGGCACACTGCCTGGCCACCCAGAAGCCTTCCTGACCCCAGAACTCTTCCATTCTGCATGTGCCTAAAACCAGCACCACATGGATGATGCCAAGATCTGCTGCCAACTGGAGCAGAAGTCAGGCTTCCTTTTATTTTGGCTGTAGGGGCTAAGTACCTATGAACCAAATCATGAGGAACAACTTCCCTAGGCTACCACCATTCTGGAACACAGTGCTCTGGGGCTCGCTTCTCAAAGCAAAGTCTTTCACCTTTGCAAGTGTGAGTCTGCAAAGGCTAGAGTCTGCTGCTTCTTGTGATGCTCTTGGGTCATCTTTTCTATTCTCCTGTTTCTAGATTTTTTTTTTTTTTGGTACTGGGAATCAAACTCAGGACCTTGTGCTTGCTAGGCAGGCACTTCTGCTCCTGAGCTATACCTGCAGCCCCCTTTTTTATGGATTTTTTTTCTATTCTCCTGTTTCTTCTCGGCAATCAAGATCATCACCTCAGCTCCATCTTTGTAGTCCACAGCTATACTGGAGCTTCCTTTCTGACCAAACTCACAACATTTTAAATCATCCTGCTGGGTCCTTTTCTCTTGATTCTCAGCACAGATCTGGTTAAAAGCCCTCAACAATAGCCATGCCATGTCCTCGACAAGAGACTGCCTTGAAATTTCTTCTGCCAGATTAATTAGTCCACTGCCTTTACTCTCATTCTCAGGCAGTTTCTGGACATCAGCAAAATGCAGAAGAATTTTCTGCCAAAAGATAACACACACGGTCTAGAGTCCAACAGCCAGCGCAGTCCTCCTGTCCCAGAGAAACCCCTAGGCCTGGTCTTTATTGGACGCATTTCTATTGGCATTCTGGTCTTCTAAGCATTCTGGTCTTCTGAGGAGGGGGCATGAGAGAGGCCACCACCTCCAGAGTGGGGAAGAGGAAGGGGGCGAGGGGGTGAGGTCCAGAACTGCACTGCAGTCTCCTACCTTAATAGGAGGATGCCAGGCAGGTCCACTCAAGCTCACAAAGGAAACTAACCCTAGTGAGAGGAGAAGGGGAAGTGGCATGACTCCTCCAACTCCAGGCAATCCAGAGCTCTGGGCTCTGCTCTGCTCCCCAAATGCCAGCCCAGTTTCCAGACAAAAGCTGGTACAAATTAATGAACCTCTCAGAGCCAAATAACCTCCTCTTAGACTGAACTGCTGGCAAAAGACCAGTCATTTTTCATCTCTGATTAAAATGTCTGAGGAAGAAATTAAAAATAATTTAGTAGAGGCACTGTCACTCATGGAGCTGGAAGCAAAAGGTCAGTCCAGAAGAGTAAGGCAGTGCACAGCCTTCTGTGCCTCAGGACAAAGGGCCCTCTCCTGCCCAGTCCTGTAGGGTCCCCTGGGGCCCACAGGGGTCCTGGCACCACACAGATGGGCTTTGGGCTCTCAGGTGCTGGTTTGGGGACCCCCACACACGCCATCAGCAGAAGCTCCTGCCAGAAGCCTAGACTTTTCTTCTGGAGGCCGCAGTTCAGTACATCTGAGCTGGGACCACGAAACCAACACCTGCATCCAGGCAGTGGCCAGACCTGAGATGTGGCAAGTTGACTTTGTTCAGTGCATCTGGCGTTAAAATCACCTTAGCAGAGTGGAAACCCAGCATCAAGCAGTTCCATTTCTGTGTGTGGTAAGCTAACTTATTCAGAGAAACTCTTCTACCATGACAAATAGAAGTGCTGAACAAAATAATTGTTTAAAAATACAAATTCTGTTTGAAAGCATCAGAGAGTTATCAGATGTGGTGAGGTCTTAAGGCCCCACGATCTCAAGTGAAAGAAAGCACAGAAGTGAACTTAACATTTGGCACAGTTTTCTGCCTGGCAATATTTGCTGACTCTTAAGGAAAACATACAGCTGAGTTGTGCTTCTACTCAGGAAAAAGGCAAGAGGAGAAATGAAGTAGAAACTGGCAGTCAGGAGGCTGTGAGGTGAGGCAGAGCTTCAGTGGCCCCGCTGTCCAAGGCGTAAAGTAGGGTGCTAACCAAGGAGGTGCCCTGATGCACCCCAAAACATCAGAAGGAACCTCTGAGTCTAGGAAGGACGAGCCAGAAATACTCCAGCATTTATAAAAATCAAAGCCTGGCTTCAAATCTGCTGGGTCATAGAGTGGGTTATGTTAATCTACCCCTACCCTGACGCCGAAGCAAAAGCAGATGTTTTCAGGAGAATGATGGCACCACCCACAGCGGCACAGTCTCCCTTTAAACTTTCGTACACAACACCTGACATTCAGCAGGTCATGAAAATAAAGAGAAAGTTTAAACAAGCATATTACAAAACACCCCCGGGCGATGGGAAATGCCAGAAATCAAGAAGATAAAATAGACATCGAATAAAGATACAGTGAGATCCTAATACTGGTATTGTCACACAGGGACCCTGAAAATGAATGTAATTAATATATTCAAGATGAATTTGAGCAACAAATTAAAATCTATTTTTAAAAATTAAATCAAAATTCTGGACTCAACAGATGGGCTTAATAGAAAAGTAGGTCCAGGTGAAGACAGGAAGAGAGAACTCACAGACAGGTAACAGTGAAGATCTGGACTCCAAGAATGGATGGAAAACAAGAGGGAAAGCTCAGGGCTGGGACCATGGACAGGGCCAAAGGGTGCGGAGCCCAGATCCAACACCTGGCACTCAAGTCCCAGAGGGGAAACAGCAATCGGCAGGACTCAATTTTTTTTGGTACTAGGAATCGAACTCAGGACCTTGCACTTGCCAGGCAGGCATTTGCGCTGCTGAGCTGTATCCCAGCCCAGGACTCAATTTTATGAAGACAGTGACTGAGAGTTTTGTAGGGCTGATGAAAGACATCCAGTTACAGATTCCAGAAGTGTTCTGAGCCCCAAACAGAATAAATACAAACAAAATGACATTTAAGCACATACAATAAAACTGTTTTTTAAAAAAGCAAACGGGAAAATTTTAAAAAGTTAAAAACTAAACGAAGTTTAATGTGCTTATTATTTCATTTGCTTCTGTTGTTTATTAATGGTTTATTAATCTGATTCTGCGCAAGCTGGGCCAGGACATGCGACAGGGGAGGGTGGTGTGCAAAGTGCATCCTGGCACCCTGTGCTAGTCTGCTTCCTGTCCCAGCAACACACATCCCCATCAGGTAAATTATGAAGGAAAGACATTTATTTTGCAGAACTGTGCAAAGTCGAGGGGCCACAACTGGTCACAGCCTCTTGGCTGGCAGAGGGTTCTCGGGACCTAAATGGTAGGAGGCAGAGACACAGACAGAGAGAATCTTCTAGTCTCTCGTACATGATCACTAGTACTCAGTGAGGGGGGCATCCACCCTGATCCCTTTAATCCCATCACCACCCCCAAATACTGTCATCCTATTACACTTCTACCTTCTCGACACCTCAAAATGGGGATTAAACTTCCGCACGTCTTGGGGCCCCACTAGTGCTTCTGGTGTGGTGAGCTCCGGCAGCACATGAGGACCCATGCAGGTGGCTCTGCAGGGCATCCTAGTTACCTTTGCATCACTGAGACACAGGCCCAACACCACAGAGAGGACAGCCCACAGGGTGTAGAGCTTTCAGTCCAGGGCTGGCGGCTCCAAGGCAGGGTGTCACGGCAGTGATGGCAGAGGAGACCTGTTCACAGAGCAGCAGACAGGAAGCAGAGAGACAGACCCTTCTGGGCCAGGCCCCGGTAACCCGCTCCTCCAGCCTCCCCACATCACAACAGCTAGAATGCGTACCATGCTCCCATGAGCCAAGCACCCCCAAACCCCACCAACGAGTGCATGAGGCTCGGGGGACATCCAGATAGAAATCCTAACAGGGAAGGTCACACACCATGCTCCTCAAACCCAGAGGTATTGATCCCACTCAAGGGCACACGGCAGTCGTGCCACAGTTGCAGAGGGCACATGGCATTGTTATGGTTGAAACATTGTGTCAACTTGGGGAGTCTAGAGGTTTGGCTAAGTGACTCAGCAGGAAGTCAGGATACTTACTTTGTACACATCCTGAGCCTGTGGAAGAGGAGGGCATGGAGATTATGTGAGAGCTACATGCCCCTTAGGTGGGGGTAGCCTGTTTACAAAGTAAGGCAGGGAAAAGGAAGCTGCTTGCCGCCATTCCTCCTTTTGCTCTGGCTGCTTTGCTGTTCAGCTGCCATTCCCCACTTTGCTCTTGTTGCTTTGCTACCTTCTGCCTCAGAGTCAGCCAAGTATGGACTGAAACCTCCACAAACTGTAAGCTAAATAAACCTTTTGGGCATTGGGTATTTTGTCTCAGCAACGAGAGAAAAGTAACCAAGACAGGCATGGTCACAGGGCAGCGGGCAAACATGGGCTTTAACATCAGAGAAGATGGCTCCAAGCCTGAGCCGCCGCCACTGGGACACAGTCTTGGTGCAGCTTTCTGTGAAACAGGGCTGGGGATACTTCGCGGTGAGAGCACACACAGAGGTGAGGACAGCAGCTGGGCCACGCGTCCACGTCCCTGGCTCCACGTGCCCGTGCGGAAGGCCCTCGCCAGAGCAGCACCCCGGCCTCTCTTCCTCCACCCCGCTGGTGAGCTCTGAGCAGGACCTGACTCCCACGCAAAGCTTGTGCTGTGCCGGCCACGTGGTGCCCTGGTCCACTGTCAGCCACGCTACAATCCTGCCCACCCAGCCAGCCGGGGCTGTGTCTCAGGACTCTGCACTAAGGGCAGGAAGTGTGTGCTGGCTGGCGGAAACATTCACTGAACCTGCTACAGATGCATGCCTTATGGCGGGGTCCTCTCACCAGGCCTGGCAGAAGGTCCTTGTGAACAGACCCGTCAAGGGCGCAAGCCTCGGTCCCCCTTCCAGTTCCACACCTGACGGATCCCGGAACACATCTGCAGCCTCGTCCTGGCCCTGACGACACCCTGCTCCTTGTTGAGCCAGGATCTCATAGGAGCCACTGCAGCCCTGCGGAGCTCTGCCCTTGGCCAGGAGTTGGCTCCTTTCTCCAGGGAAAGCCAGACACAGCAGCTCTCACATAGGGCACGAGCCAAAATGCCAGCAGACGCCCAAAATCAGCCACAATGCTACACCTTCTGTATCTCATGCTTTCCCCTATTCACACACCTACAATAAAACCTAACATAAATCAGGCCCCGTAAGGGATAAGCAAAGCAGAACACCGTGGCTACCACTTAATGAAGTGCGTGGACAAGGCCTCTCTCTCCGTACAGCACTGTGCTCGCCCTGCTCCTGTGAAGATGCGCGAGGACCGGGCCCAGGAGATGAGGTGAGCGAGGGTCAGCCCTCCTGCAGGCCACCTGAGGAGACAGGGCACAGCGGATCTGACGATCACGGTGCGGCACAGTGAGGATGTGCCAGACGAAGGGATGATTCACCTGCGGGAACAAGTCGGGAGGACACAAGATGCCATCACCTCGCCCACACTGGTTTGCGATTTCAAACTGAGGAACTGTCAGGCCAAGTGCAGCACAGCTGTGCAACCTGCCCGGCCTGCACAGCACCCCAAGGTTAGGCCCCAGCACCGCAAAAACAAATAAGTACTAATCGTGTACTTCTGGAATTTTCCATTCGATATTGTGTTTGGCCACAAATAACTGAAACCACGGAAAATGGACCGCAGTGAGCTGGGCCTGCACCAGCCCTCGAGCGGGAGACAAGCATGGCTCCTCTCCACCCCCAGCTCCAGGGAGCCTGCTCCAGGCCCCGACTCCAGCCCAGACGAGGCCGGGCTGACTTCCTTCCACGAATCCTCCTGGTGGGCAGAGGTGCTTGGAGGGGCCAGAAAAGGGTTCCAAGTTTCTGCCACAAAGATCTCTGGCTGACCTGCGTGAGCTGAGGGCAAGGCAGGGGAGGCCTCGGTCCTAGGAGGCCCACAGCCAACACCCGGGCCCCTGAGGAAGCTCTAGTCTGACAGGAAGGAGGAGGCAGGCCACAGCGTCTGTATGCTGTCCAATATATCTTCCTTTCTTACTTTAGTCTATGCTGGAAGCAAAAAACAATAGCTGATACGTAGAGACACAATGTAACTCGGACCACAGGCTCCAATTTACCTCCTGCTCTTGGAGAGCCTTCCTCAACAACACTTAAATCAGGGTTTATCTGTGCAGCTCACGGCCCCTCCGCTGGAAAGCCCAAACAAGAAGGCAAATCCACATCAGCAAACATCACGTGGGCGGTTCACCAGGGAGGGCGCCACCTGTCAATCAGTCTTCCCTGTTAGCTTTCCACTGCAGTAACAAGTAGAAGGCTTTAGACGGGACTTCTCATTTTGTCTAGATTTTGCAGTCTCCAAAGCATAGTCAATGGATGACAAGTATCCACACGTTCTAAAGACAAGGAACAAAAGTGTTTCAAGTCTGGGTCCCCTGAAAAGCAGGACAGGAAGCAGGAACTGCATGCACAAGGTGTACTTGGGGAACTAATCCCAAGAAACAGAAGTAGGGACCCAGGAAAGGGCAGGAGAGGAGGCTGGGCCAACCTGAGGGTGATAATGTGGCACCAATGCCCAAGGCTACTCCCCTGGATCCCACAGGGCTGGAGGAGGAGGAGGAGGAGGAGGGCCCACAGCCTTCAGCCAACTGCAGGCCCTGCCCTGCCCAGAGGTGCTGACACCTCCCGCTACAGACCTGCCACGGTGGAAGTCAGGCAGGAGAGAAGCGGCGTGGGCAGGAACACAGCACAGCGAGGACGCACACACAGGCAGATGTGCAACAGCAGCCAGGGGCTCCGAACTCACAGCACGGGCCCCCAGGTCTAGGCCACACAAGAGAAGACGAGGGCTGCTGGGAGTCACGTCCCTGCCTTTCCTTGCTACCGCCCCGCAAGTGTCAGTTCGTGCAGGACCACGGAATGCCTGCAAGCGGCACTTGCTTCCTGGCAGAAGCGAGCCTGGGGGTGGCCACACCACATGGGATGGGGCAGCGAGAGCTCCCGAGAGAACTTGACTCGGGACTGCCGGCATCTGCGGTGGGGCGGAAGCCTGAGGAGCACAGCGGGAACGGGGGCCTGAGGCCAGTGGCACGTGCGGTTTGGGGGGCAAGTGGGCAGTCAGTTCCCCTTGGGCTGCCGGCGGGCCAGGACTTCACGGCGCTCCTGCAGGGCAGGCTGGGCAGGCCGCCAGGGTCAGCAGAGATCGGAGCCAGAACACAGGCACAGGCCCCTCCGAGCAGCTCTACAGGTCACTGGGCATGTGGCACACAGAAGGTGCTAGTGGCCAGGTGACACCAACACCGTCTTTCCCTTCCTTACCTGTCAGAACCTTCGGAACCATAAGAAAGGAAAGTGAAACACTAAGGCAAGCCCCCCCCACACTGCTGCACAGGAAGGGAAGGGAAATGGCAGGGGGAACAAGCATAAACCTGGACCACAGCACAGGTTTGATTTAAATTGACCGGAACTTTTCAATCAATGAAAACAACTTCATTTTACATCTGAAAGGTGACTCCTTTTTTTGTGCCAGGAATCAAACTCAGGACCTCGTGCTTGCCAGGCAGGCACTGTGTTGCTGAGCCCCAGAAAGGTGACTTTAAAAGGCAAAAGATTTATGTGATCTGAAGAGAAACCAGAGTATAAGGTGACTTTAAAAATGTAAGACCTTCCTAAAATATGTTCCTGGGCAGAAAGAGATTGGAACGGCCTGAAGAATCACAGAATTACTTTCTGCGGCTCCCGCCAGGGCTGAGCTCCCTCCATGCAGCTGGCCGCAGGCTCTGGTCCTCAGCGTTCGCACCTGGAGAGCCTGAGGGAGGTGCAGGGGCAGCTGCGTGCTGGTCGAGCCCCACTGGCTGGCGAGCTTGCACTTCCTGCTGCCCTGCCGACCATGCTGGCAGGAAGCACGCTGAGGCAGGACTGTCCCTTCTTTCTCACACGTGCACATCCCCCCTGGATTTGCCCCTGGATCGGATGCCTCGGCAGGGTTCCTCTTGCTCTAGTGTAAGAACCCCAGTGGGATGGGTTCAAAATGCAAGCTTCCAGTTCCTTGCCCCTAAAGATTCTGATTTAATAGGTGAAGTCTGGAAATATCTAGAAAACAGTGCAGGAAATGCCATCTCTGCACTGACCAACAGAGTAGGCCACATGGGCTAGCACCATCAAGGAAGTGGGTTTTGATTTTATTTAATTTTAATCAACTTCAACTGAAACAGCCCTCATGCAGCCCAGAACTCAGAGGTGGAAATCGGAAATGCGGCCAGGGAGTGTGCTGAAATGCTCAGGATCAGGTCCACCCACAGCTGTGGAATCGGCATCGACCTCTTAACATGATCTTCAGAAGATCGTGCCAAGAAAGGGCACCATTCATCTTCTAGAACATCTCACTCCTTCACTGAAACCCACCACCCCTGGGCCGCCCACCTGCTAGCACACTTCTCTCATCATAGACAATCTCACATCAACTGTGTAAGCCTCATTCTCACCCAGCATATTGGGTTCTGATGCAGCTAGCACTGTGGGTCTGGAGGGCCTGAGTGAGAAAGGGCGTGCGTGCATGCGTGCATGCGTGCATGCATATGTGCATGCATGTATGTGTGTGTAGAGAGAGGGATGGAAGGTGTACCCCGGTCACAAAGGATCTGATATGCAGCCTGAGGACTGGGCCTTATTCTTGGGGTGAGACACCCAGGGCTGTTGGCAGGTAGGTGGCATGGGCAGAGTGACACTTCCCAAGGTGCTGCAGACAAGTACTGAGAGGGAAGAAGGCCACAGAATCCACAGCCTCCAGACCTACTTGTAGGTTTCTACAGTATGTATCCGACAGGGGTAGGACTGATCTCATGTCAGCCCTAGACTGAAGAAATACTCAGGGTGCTCAGCAACAAATCTATTCCCCAGGGTCAACCATAGTATCCCAGTTCCTATGTTCAGAATACAGTCTTCTTTATCTCTGAGTTTGGGGAGAAGTAACAAACACTTTTTGCATTTCAAGTCTGAAGAGACTGTTGCTTGGTGATAAACTAAATGTTCACCATTTACAGCAGTGAACTCTGGGGTCAGGGCTCAACCCTGGAGCAGTCGTTTGCTTTGGAAGTGTACTTTGTAAGCACGCTGTTTTGAGAGTCAAAGCATATGTAAGGCACTCTCAGGACACACCACAACCAAAACAACGCAACAGTGGATTTTCACTCCGATGGCTTGTTCCCAGGCTTGATGCGGTCTGGTGCAATGACCACGCCGCAGACGTTAGGGCAACAAGCAGCTGTGACTGGCAGTGAGCAGAGGGAGAGGCTGGAAGGAGAGAGGTGGGAGCCGTGCTTCTGGCTCTTCTCTAGTCTAGGGCACCTCTGACACACAGGAAGTCCCCAGCTTACGAATGAGTTCCACTCTGGGAGAGCTGTTCCTGAGTTGGCTCCGTTTGTAAGCTGACAAAGTCAGTCCTCGGCTGTACAGTACACCTGCAGAAGTTTGCAGCTGGAATGTTCACAAGTTGGGGACTTAACTGTTATGTACAATAAGTCCTGGTCAGCCAGGGGCAGTCTGAAAGCAGAGGACCCAAAAGCATGGGGTCTGCTGTTTCCAGGGTGACAGGGTTTTCTACCCTAAGGCATCTTCTCCTTAAAGGAATGACTTAAATTATTCCTTCTCAAACACAGGTGACACCAACCACCAAGATCATAGTCCCAGCCCTAGTTGGCAGACAGAAGGCAGGGAGGCCGTATCAGGATACGCTGAGACCGAAAGGCAGGATGGTAGGATGCCGAGACCAGCACGAGGCATGACACTGTATGGTCAACACAGCCAGCCCAGAGGCAGATGAGGACAGTGACAGCTCTGCAGTGGCCAGCTGACTGCACTGTGCCTGTCCCGCCCGGAGTGCCTGGCCTCGGGGCAGCCATCTCCAAACAGATAGCCCCCTGGAGAGCAGGCATGGCGATCCCTGCGGTAGACGAATTAGAATATTTACATGTACTCCTTATCTTTAATAGAAAAGAAGTTTTGCTGAAAGTTAAGTTTAGGCTGACATCAGCCCCTGGCTCCCTCTGTGCCTCAGAAGGTCCTGCACAGGGCTCCAGGTGCAAGTCCTGCTTGAGGCACAGCAGGCAACAGAGAGCGAGGGGTGAGACGTGCTGCAGTTTCTTCACATACGCCTAGGCACAGGTGCCTCCCTGCTCCGCTGAACGAACCTCTCAAAACACACAAGTGCCTTGAAAAGATTCTTACAAGGAAAGCAGACCAAAGTCAACCCTAATACACAAGCACATGAGCAACAATAGCTGATACTGTACTTCTATTCCCAGTACAAGCTGCCCATGAGCCACACTGCCCATGATCTGCCAAGAAGTCAGCCTTTGTGGAGGCGCATCCGTCCCCAGTTAATGAACAACCTAGTGCTCCACACACGCGATGAACGTGTGAGGCCATCACAGTCAGCAGAAGCTACTGACCAGGAGAAGGAAGCCGAACCTCCATGAGGTGCTCAGCAGCGTTTCACACCCTGTAATTCCAGCTCCAGTATGTGTTAAACAGGCTCACTAAACACAATCACACTTCTGTAAGCCTTCTATGTTTTGTCACTTAATAGCAAACGATAAAACGTATCATCCCATAAAAAAAAAAAAAAACACCGGTTCTTCATGTCACAGAAATATGCATGAAATCCTGATGAAAAGATGCAGGAAAAGAGGGCAGAGGCAGCTTCCTCTCAGGAAGCACTGTCCTATGATCTGCAGGGACAGTGCTGGCCCCCGGGAGACAAGCACAGGAATGAGCTCTGCAGGTGGGGGCTGAGTAACAGGACGGGTCTCCCACAAAGAAATACAAAGAGATGAAACAAAGAAGATGCACTTTAAAAAAAATAATTCTCCTTTTAAAAAATAATGTTTTATGGGCAAACTACTTCACTTTCCATTCCTGAGGGAGCGGCTGCTTTGCCCAAAATTTTTGAAAGTTGAGGTGGTAGATTCCACATCAAGAATTCAGCAATCACATCATCACACAATTCACAAGCAGGACATGTCCCACGTGATGTGCATTTCACTGATGTGGATTTTCTAAATTTAGGGCCCTTGCGGTATAATGGAATACTTACAACTTTATGATGTGATAAGAAGTGCCCATGAGAAGTATTTTGATTCGTTTGAATTTTTTGATTATCACAAGGTAAAATACTTTTAATGGAGCTGTTAAACTTCAAGATGAGTTTTCCATGTAGTTTTTTACACAGAAGTTCCAAATTTTCTGACCTTTCTAAGGTTATAAATGGTCACCAGTAAATCCTACCTAGAGGCATTTTCAAAAACTAAGCACACATAATTTGGGTAAAGGGCATGTTTCAACAGTGAGACAGGAGGGAACTTCTCTCAGAGAGAGAGTTGGGGCAGGGGCAGATGGTAGGAACCACCCGGAATGGCCATTGACCCTATTTCACAACACAGTAAATGTGTGGCACCTGCTGATTAATACATTGAAATGACAGATCCACATCAAGAAAATGGATATTGATTAGCCAGATTCCAGTTAAAAACATCACTGCAAAATCAGCAGACAGAACTGAAAACTTCAGTCATTATGGTTCTACTTCCCTCTGCTCTGTCTCTAGAAGGTAGTTTTTTTTCAGTTATTAAGGCTCTTAAAACCAATTATTGAAAGAAACTGAAATTTCAGTCATTAATTTATTTTAGAATCATTCAAAATGTGTTAAAGTAAGGTTTGTACAAATAAATTTGGGGCTGGAGTATAGCTCAGTAATAGAGCACTTGCCTAGTGTATGCAAGGTTCTGGGTTTAATCCCCAGCACCACAGTGAAAAAAAAAAAGAGAAAAGAAGGAAAGAACATAATAACGAATTTCACACATTTTAAAACCATATATTAGGGGCTGGGGATTTAGCTCAGCAGCACAGCGCCTACCCGGCAAGCGCAATGTTGTGAGTTTGATTCCCAGTACCGGAAGGAAAAAAACAAACAAACAAAAAAACATATACTGTTCTTTTAAAAATGAGAACATTATAAAGCACGTGTAATATATTTCATTTCACCACTCATTCTGTCATGTATGTTTTATAACATGCGTATTGTTTTTTAGAAAATGAATTTTTTAAGGCACAGTAAAAAACCGTAAATGTGGGCCAGGTGCCCATGGAGACTGGAGACCACACCTCAGGGCAGAAGGTCTGGGCTCCCCGAAGAGGGAAGCAGAGGACGGAGTACAGAGACACATCCTGTGAAAGCCCACGCCGGGGGTCCTGCTGGGGAGATAGCAGCCAACACTCAAACCAGGGCGGTGACACCTGAACTGTTCATGGCTATTGCTAGGTCCTGAGGTAAGCCACGAGGATGACAGACATGCGTCTCTGAGGAGCTGCAGGCTGGTGGAGGAATGACGCATATAAATGTACGGTTAAAATGCAAAAGGAGCCCATCGCCCCGTCCTGTGCCTGCGGTCACCATCTTCTCTGGGCTCTTCCCCGCGGGTGAGCACCAGCCGGACCAGGCATGCAGAGGCGTGCGTGAGCGCACCCTTTTGGCCATCAAGCTGGAAGGGGTGCAGCGGCAGCTGGTGGGTGCGATTGTGCGGCGCTTCAAGAACAGCTTCACACTCATAGCACTGAAGCACTGCAGGCCTCTGAGGAGCTGCTGCAGGAACACTATGCTGATGTGCGCGGGTGCCCCTTGTAGGGTCGCCTGGTCAAATACATGAGCTCAGGGCCGTGGAGGCCATGGTGTGGCAGGGACTGGACATGGTGTGTGCTTCATGGGCCCTTACTGGGGCCACAGACCCAGTGGATGCCGTGCCTAGCACCATCTATGGAGGTTTCTGCATAAAGGTTCGCACAAACATGACCCATGACAGCAATTCTGTGGAGAGTGCCCGCTGTGAGATTGCGCTCTGGCTCCCTATGGAGGAGACCCTACGCTGGGAGGGCAGCGCCTCTCACTGGCTACATGAGCAGCGAGGAGCCGGCTTGGTGGGAGAACACTGCACCCTGCAGAGCCCCCCGAAGCACTAGGTGCAGGCCACCCACACCCCCTGTGCAGCAGAGCCACCTCCCTGGCCCACAGCGCCTGGACTCACCACACCCACACTTGTTCTCGTAATAACGAGAAATCCCCCCAAAAAAAATGCAAAAGGAGCAACTGAATCTTAATCATCTCTGCAAGAAAAAAAACTGGAGCCAGGAATTGCACTTCGGCCTGAGGCCACCCATACACATCAAGCTCTTAGCTAGGAGGACACAGTGACCACGATGGACAGGACTTCACACTTCCGGGCAGGGTTAGAATCACCTGCAGCACCAGGCGCCCCCCTTCCAAGCCTCTGCAGAGATCACAGGCACTTCTGGTCACTAGAGAAACAGCTCTTCCTCCACAGGGGCACCGGGCACTCTGACTCCCTTGGATCTCAGGACCTTGTGTCTTCTGGACAGTCAACTCCACACCCTTACACACTCGAGAAGCCAGGGATGGGGTTTTTACACTGTCCTTTGGTGAAAGGGTAACAGAGACTGTGTCAACACGGTAAAACTGCCCAGGCCGGCAGCAACGCAGGAATTTCACACTTTAACCATTTCAGACCAGCAACTGTATCAGCTATATTAACCTCCACCTTGCCCAGACAGGTAAAGTAACACTAGACAAAGTTTTCCACCAAGATGACCATGTCTTTACAATGTGTACAAGTCAACCTCTTTCCCATTTCTCACTGTATATCCCAAACTGTACAGATCCACCACTAGACCAACTGACATTTTTTAAGTTTTTCACTTAAAATAAAAATTATCAAATTGTATTCTATTATCCAGACAATACTGGATTGTATTTTAAGTGAAGTCATTCTGAACATTCAATCACTCATTAAAAGCATCACCATGCACCCACTGTCTGGGATCTGCTGGGTCTGAGGCGTCTTTGGAGCTCACAGTCTAGAGCGGTGAACGGACACAGCCACTGAGAACTGCTGCACAGGACATGGTGACAAGGGGCTCAGCGCCTCCGACAGTAACGCTCGCAATGCGAAGGGCAGAAGCAGCTGCAGAGCTCGGTGCTAGAAGAACAAGGCAGGGAGGCGCAGAGCGGCTGGGAAAGGGAAAAGCAGGTGGAGACCCCTTCTAGGGGCACTGAAGGCCCCAAACGCCCCCGTCAGGAGTGCTTTGTGACAGATGTGCTTTCTAAGATCATTCTGAAACGAAGTACAGGAAAAGCAGCCGGTATGCGGCTCTGGCTGAGTTTGGCTCAGGAATGCAGAGGGGCTGGGTGTGGGAGACAGCGGGGCAAAGGGGGCAGAGAACAGACGTCAGAGGCCTTTCACACACAGGCCATAGGTCACAGGGTCACAGGCCAATGCAGGGTCAGCAGAGCTGGCAGGACAGTCTTTGGCCTCATGGGGTCACCAAAGCCTCCTCCACCAAGTCACCACCCCTGGCTGGCAGGTCATCTGCCATCAGACAAATGCAGTGCCCACAAGGGAACGAAACTCATCCCTAGGGGCTGGGGATTTAGCTCAGCAGCACAGCGCCTGCCTGGCAAGTGCAAGGTCATGAGTTCAATTCCCGGTACCAGAAAAAAAACAACAAATAAAAAAAACTCATCCCTAACTTATGACTTATCGGACCTTAAACTTATATTCATTGACACTCAGAAATCAGTAGTAATAACGTCCAATCAGTTAAACAAAAATACCAAGATCACAGCAGCTTTCCATCCTCCAACCAGGAGCTCACAGAGCTGCACATGAAATTTCAGGGTGAATGAAGGAAGTCGTGACAAAGTGGCTTAACATTCGCAGGTTACCTGGCACCCTCAGAATCATCAGCCAGTCTGTGGATAACCGCTGAGTCTCCAGCCAGCCAGCAGAGACTGACCAAGCCCACAGCAGGCAGGACACAGTGAGCTACCTCGCCAACCTCAGCATGTCCCGCTTCCTCCCACCCTGAGCTGCGCACTTCCTCACAAACACTGAACCTAAGCTGCAAAGCCCACCGCAGCAGCCCCAGGACTCAGGCGGCACATCACCGGTGACAGGCTCTGCAGGTGGTTTTATGGCAGTTTCATACACTAAAAACAATGCAGTCTGTGTTCACTTTAATGAGCAACTTCAATTAACTTTGACAAGGGAAAGTACACATTTTCTTCACCCTGATTACTCAGCGTGGTCATCTGGGCTCAAGGTGCTTCACAGAGGAGTTTGTCCTCCGCTTCACAGAGGTCTTCACAGAGGACTTCGTCCACCCTCACATCGTGCTCGCCCACTGGGATCTGGTGGCACAGCTGCTCCTTGAAGGCCAGGGCGACGGTGTAGGGCTTTGGGCCCGGCAGCTGCAGGCAACGCTGCAGGTAGGTGTCGTAATAGCCCCGGCCCCGGCCCAGCCGGTTGCCATGCTTGTCAAATCCCAGGCCTGGCATGAAGATGAGATCAAGTCCCCCTGAGAACAGAGAAGCACAGGTAAGAGGACCAATGGTTTCTGCAATGATCTCCTTAGAATGGGAAATAGTTTTGATTTTTTAATAACATTATTTCCTTGATTTCTGAAGAAATATCAGCGTAGAAAACAAAAAGCAAAGTTAGACAAAGAAGCAAGGAACAATCATTCAGCAGCTCAGCAGACCCTTCCTCCATCCTGGCAATAGTTCTTATGCATATCTACATGAATATGCCAGCTCCCAGGCCCCACTACTCAGAGACTCCTCAGGCAACTGGGGAGTCAGCACACCAACAGCCCTGCACCCCAGGATGATAGCAGGGGGAGCAACTGGGGAGTCAACACCTATCAGACCGGCACTCCAGGATGATGGCAGGTGCAGCAGGCAAGGGTCAGGCGAAACAAGCACCAGAGCGGTCTTGAGCTTTTGCTGTGAGAGCACCATGCTGTCCAAACAGCTGCCCCGCCTCTCCCCACCACACAGGCAGGGCCAGTGGCGGCGGCCTGTATTACGGGAGAGCAGCCTAACCCTGATCAGGGACCTTCCGAAGGTACAGAGTGATGTGGCTGGAGGCTTTCCAACACAGGGACCAGAACTGGCCATGGCATCATCGGGACAGAGAAGGCTGCTACAGCTCTGGGCAGAAGGCAGGACTGTGGGGGTTATAAAACACAGCAGAGTGACAGGCACGCAGGACATTATGGTCACGAGGTAGAGGACCAAGTGGGTGTTAGGAGTGCAGAGAGCAGTCCTCCAGCCCGAGGGAACCCAGAGCCTTTGCAGCCTGGCTGTCCGGGGGCTGCTGGTGGCCTCCAGTTAGTTACAGACTAAGCACTCAGCACTGCTGGCAAGACACACCAGAGCTGGAAGCCAAGAACTGTGCACAGGTGTCGGGAGTAGTGATGTTCGGTGTGTCCGAAAGGCTAACCATGCTACCAGCAGCTGTTCTGACTCTTGCAGAACTATGAGGGGAGCTGGGCTCTCTCTGGCTCCCAGCACACACCTGCCAATCCTGCCTGCCAAAACCCAGTGGGGTGGACCTTAGGCCGTGGCCACGACCTCCCCGGGTAAAGCTGCCTGTCCACTCCGACCGGACTTGCTGCAAGACCCTGGCACTCACCAAGGTCTCTCCCCTGCCCCTTGCAGCAAGCTTCTCTCTACACAGACCAGCGGTAGCTGTGCCCTTGACCTCTGCTCCCTCTGCGGCTCTTTCTGTCACCAGAGAATCCTCGGTTGCTTTAGTTCAGTTTTCTCTTGGAAACCCAGAACACACGCTCCACACTCTCCTAGGAGCCCTTCCTCCTTTCAGGTACGGTCTGCAAAGTCCTCTGAGGACATACAATTCCTACCCTTTAGAAGACAGCGGTAGTTGCCATAAAATATAAAATATACACGTGCATAATGTTATAGTTTATATCTAGATGCCCCCCAAAGCCTCAGGCACTCACGGGTGGGGCCCTTGGGAGTGGCTGGATCATAGGGCTGTGATGCTCATCAGAGGGTCATCTGTTTCACCTCTGCCATGCCGCCCTGCCTTGGAACCAGCCGACTACAGACTGAAACCTATAAACTGTGAGCCAAAGTAAACCTCTCTTTCTTAGAGTTGTGGGTGTCAGGTATGGTGTTTCAGGAAGGAGACAGTAACTGAGACAGGGAACACTCAATCATGCACAAGCCAGCAGTCGCTGCCAACTGCCTAACAGAAACGAGAGAAAGCAGGGACTGGAGACTGGCAGAGGGAAAGTATTTCCAGCTGGGGGTCAGGGGAGCACTATGGGGAACTCTTTTAAGGACATGTCAGCATTGGGTCTGAGTATATTTCAGAAACCAAAATAAGAGTGGCCAGAGACCATGACAAAGAGGAGTGGGGGGCAAGAGGATCAGGATGCACCACAGCAGAAGACAAGAGCACTGCCCCTGTCCCCTGCAGTGCAAACGTGAAACGCTGCAGCTGCTGCAGGAAGCTGTGTGCAGATTCCTCAAACAGTGCAACAGGGCTGGGGATGCAGCTCAGTGACAAAGCACTTGCCTGGCTTGCACGAGGCCTTGGGTTCAATCCTTAGCATCACCAAAAAAAAAAAAAAAAGAAAAAGAAATTAAAAGCAAAACTACCATAGGATCCAGCAGCCCCACTTCTGGGTATTTATCCAAAAAAGTACTGGAATCAAGGTCAGAATGAGATGTTTGTACCTCACATTCACTGCAGCATTATTCACAACAGCCAAGAGGCAGAAACAGCCTAACACCCATCGTGGGATGAGTGGACAGAGAATGTGGTACACACACCCAGTGGAGCAGCAATCAGCCACGAGAAAGAAGGAGACACTGCAGTATGGGACAGCGTCAGCAAACCCGGAGGGTGCCGTGCTAGGTGAAACAAGCAGGGCCCACAAAGACAAGCGCTGTGTGGTTCCACGCACTCGAGGTGCCAAGCTTCCAGGGACAGAAAGCAGCATGGTGCTGGCCGGTTTCCAAAGACAGAGGGCCTGGGAAGCTGCTGGTCCACAGGGTCAGAGTTTTAGTCACACAAGGCAAAACAGTTCCAGACACCTGCTCACAGCACTGTGTTTGCAGCCAAGCCAACGCTGTTGTGCACCTACAAACTGGAGAGGGCGTATATCATGCCATGTATTATTCAACCCAACAAGAAATAAAAATTAACAGGCAAAGAAAGCAAAAGGAAAACCAGGAGAATCATCAAGAGTTCCCCCAAAGTCAATACACGAGAAAGAGAAGGCAGAATTCTGGAGCAACTACAAATGCTCAGTTAATTGGAAGAAAACAATGAAGAACACATATAGAAAAGAAGAAAACCCATTCTCAGTTACTTGACCCTGTCCTCACTTCCTGTCCTGTGACCACAGCCCTCACTGAAGGCCTCTGCCTAGCAGCTGACTGCGTATGTCTCCATCCGCCCTGCTGACGGCAAATGTCCCTGCAGACCACAATTTCTCCAAGTCATTGCTCATGCTGGAACTTCACTAGAATTCCAGGACAAAGAAACCCTAGAAGAATTATCATCTGCAGTGGACTGATCCCAGCCAAGCCCCCTGCTATAACAAGCCAAGGTCTGTAGGTTGGGCCGAAGGGGCGACAGCACAGCACAACAGGCTGATAAAAGCAAAGCCCCCATGCTGTAAGCACAGTGAGGTGCACAAGAACGTGGCCGGTGCTGGACGCCCAGGAACTGTGCCGGCAGAGTCCTAACAGCCCGTCTGGGAGGCTGCCCACCGGGCCCAGCCCCAGGACTGCTGCGGATTCTCCCTCACCCAGCGTCTGGGTTACTTTTCCCTTGTTGCTGAGAGAAAATACCCAACACCCAAAGTTAAAGGAGGAAAGGTTTATTTAGCTCAGTGTGTGGAGGTTTCAGTCCACAATCAGCTGGCTCCAAGGCAAGGTGGCACGCAGCAGAGGAGCAACAGCTCATGGCATGGCTGCGACAGCAGAAGCAACAAGAGCAAAAAGGGGGAATATAAGCCTCTTTTCCTCACTGATATTGCACCCACTCTGGGGTGGGTGTAGCACTCACACCACCTCCCTGCCCTCCTCTTGCACAGGCTGAGAATGTTTACAAAGTGAGGACCCTGGCGTGCTGCTGAGTCACTTAGTTAACCCTCTGGACTTCTCAAACTGACACAATGAACAACATCCCAGAACAGTGAGGGCATGTCCTCTAAACCCTAGAATGTAGAACTACTGAGTCACTTAATTAAGCTTCTAGACTTCTCAAGTTGACACAATGTACCCACTATTATACCCAAACATTGCCTTCTGGGCCTCAGGTATTCAGGCACCCTCCTTCTCTGCTCCTGCTGGTGGGTGAATCCAAGCGTTTCCTGAAACGCAGGACACAGCCTTCCCTGAGTTCACTCCATACCACACTCAAGGGTCTTCCTGTGCCACAGACCATCCTCACAGGCAGTGCCTGCCAGCTCACGCATACACACACACACACAGTGCCCCAACACACATACACACACACATGCAGTGCCCTAGCACATATACATGCATATGCAGTGCACCAACACACATACAGTGCCACATGGGGTGCCCCAACACACACACACACACACACACACACACACAGTGCCCCAAAACACATATATACACACAACACATGCAGTGCCCCAACACACACAAGCAGTGCCCCCAACACACACCTCAGAGTAGTACTAACACACACACACCCCACATGCAGTACCCCCAACACACCTACACACACCACATGCAGAACCAACACACACATAACCCCACAGGAAGTACCACACAGAGCCCTGGTGCTCTGCACACTCTCATAATACTATGCTGGGTACTTTCCCTCCCAGTGGAGCTTGAAAGCGGCCATAATTCATGAAAATTAAATCAGATAATGCTTATAAATCGACGTTAAAGTGCCTGCTTGTGTGGGTCACAGATGTTAAGACAGACTGTCCTTCTGTAGTTAGTACGTGTCAGGGGGCTTGCCACGCGTGCCCTGCACACACCAGCCCCAGCCAGGGCCACCACTGCAAAGTCCCAACTCGCAGGGGACGGGGAGGGGCTCCGTCCTACACTCACGCTCACTATGCACTTCTGCTGTGGCTCCACCTTCGAACCACCCAGGCCTCCTGGACAGGGGTCAGCGACATCAACAGTGTGCTGGAGACGCCCACCACCTTCCAGAATAAGACAGCAAAGTCCCAGCCAGCTCCTCTGGACAGCAACAGGACACTCAGAAGGAGCCACATGGTGGCCCCCCACTGCTCTGCAGCGCCACCGTCTCCTGGGAGCTTTCTCACATGGCCTTGCTCTCCAGAGCTGCGAAGCCAGCCTTCGGAACTCTGACCGCCAGTCTCCTGCTGTTCCCTTGCCGCTCCTGCGCGGGCGCGCCCTCTGCAGGCAGTCACGCCCTCTGCAGGCAGTCGCGCCCTCTGCAGGCAGTCCCACAGCGCTGGGCTGGGACGGCGCGGCCCTGGGAGGAGGCTGTGGAGCCATCAGCAGGTGGGGTGGACGGCACGGCCCT